GTTAGTTGTAGTAGTAGTAGTAGTAGTAGTAGTAGGAGTAGGAGTAGGAGTAGGAGTAGGAGTAGGAGTAGGAGTAGGAGTAGTAGTAGTAGTAGTAGTAGTAGTAGTAGTAATAATAATAGTAGTAGTAGTAGTAGCAGTAGTAGTAGTAGTAGTAGTAGTAGTAGCAGTAGTAGTAGTAGTAGTAGTAGTAGTAGTAGTAGTAGTAGTAGCTGCGTACATCGGAAAACAAGGTAGTGGCGAGTGGGCAGGAGGTCGGCCATGAGGAACAAGAAGAGGATATGACATGACGAGATCGAGTACGAACAACAGCAGCAGGAATTGGAGTGGAAACAGCGGGGGGGCAGGAAGACCACGGGAAGACGGAGGAGGAGAAGTGATAGGGGCGACAAAGATTAACAATAATTCGGGTCCAGATAAGTGGCCAGCGCTAAGGCGAAAACCCTGTATTGAGCGACGGGAGCAAGGCGCCGATCCGAAAATGAGGCCCCCGCCGGCCGCGTCGGGAGCACCAGTTTGAAATACCAAGAACAAACGGATTGCAAACAGCCGTAGGACCGATTAATTGTTCTGTAATTTAATAGATGAAAAACAGGACGCGGAGATAATTTGTTTTCTTCCGGACGGGGTCAGGGGAGAGACGAGAGTCGTACTAACAAAATGTGATTGTGTAGGGAAGGGGGAGGAACGGTGAAGTTGCGCTAGGAGGCGGGTCGAGGCGCGTCAGGAGTGGCGCACGGGGTGGTGATGGGAGGTGCAGAAGAAGGGTGGAGACGATTGCATAGGGATGAACGACGAGTGTGGCGAGGAGAGCGCGGAGTGGCAGGACGATTGGCGTGGTCCTCGCAGCCGTCGTCGCAATCGTCGCAGTTGTAGTCGCCGTAGTCGTCGACGCAGTCGTAGTCGTCGCCGCCGCCGCCCTCGTCGTCGCCGTCGCCGTCGTCGTGGTCGTCGTGGTGGTCGCCGTCGCCGCCGTCGCCGTCGCGGTCGTCGTGGCCGTCGTGGTGGTGGTGGGCGTCGTGGCCGCAGCTGGCGCGCCGGCGCCCGCGAGGACGCGGGCGCGCGCCTCCTGGCCGCCGCGCTGCTGTGCGCAGCCGCCCCCGCGGCCGCGACTGGCCAGGGCGGGCTGCGGGAGGAGGGTGCGCGGCAGGAGCGTTCGGCTCTCTGTCCCCCGGGGGGGCGGGGGGGGAGGAGCTGCGGGGTTCACTTCGCTCGGGGAGGGGGGTGGGGTTCACTTCGCTCGGAGCTCCCGAGCGAAGTAGGGTTCGCCTGTGGCCCTAGGGGGGGAGGAGCTGCGGGGGAGGGGCGGGGGGCGAGGGAGGGGGGCGGGTTAAGTACGGTCGACAAGGACGGGGTGCCAGCGGATCCGACAGGGGGGGGGGGGGGGCGAGGGGGAGGGAGGGAGAGAGGGGGGGAGGGGGGCGAGGGGGATATTTCGCTCGAGTTGCGCGTTTGGGGTAGCCCTCTTGAGGGGTAGCAGATTCCTCCTTGTCCCTGCCTTGTTGCCGTGAAAACAAAGGGAGAGGATGGAGGACGGGGGATGGGGGATGGGGCAGAGACGGATGGATGGGGGGCCAGTGTGGGCGATGAGTGGGCGTTGCGGGGACATCGGAAGCAACTCGGGTGAGAGGGATGGGGACACGAACCTGCCGTGCAATGAAAACACCATGCGGTCTAGATTTAGCAGAAAGATTTAAGTCAAGAGGCTTGCACCATTCCCGCCGACCCCCAGAGGAAAAACGAAGTCCACGGGTGAGCCCTTTTGGGGTCATTGTGATTATTGGGAGGGCCCTCCGGGGGTCCCGGGGTCGTCTTGGGGGCTGTTTGGGAACCATTTGGGGGCCTCTTTTGGTCCTCTCAGGGGCCATTTGGGGCCTTCTTGGGCGCCTGCTGGCGGTCTTAGGGGTCCGTTTGGGGCGGAGGGCTCGAAATGTCAGTTCGAGTTACTCTTCTTGGGCCCGTCTTGGGGCCATCTCGAGGTCTTCGCGGGCCCGTCTTGGAGCGATCTTTGGGGCCTATGTTGTTGAGGCTGAAGAGGCGACCATGCTGAAAATAAGCGTTCCCCCGAGGATTGGGACGATGTGTGCCTCTTGGGGCTGTCTCGGGGGTCCTCTCGGAGCCTCCTGGGCGTCTTAGAGGCCACTTGGACAGTCTTGAGGCCATCTTGGATGTTCCCCCATGTGCGAAGTGGGGTTATTGTTTTCTTTCCACCCGCGTCGCATCGGCGTCTCCAACCTCATCCCATCCTCCTTCTCGCTCGTACACCCTGCACACATGCATACCACACACGCGCACACACATCATCCATACACATGCGCACACCCACCCACACACACACACACTAGCCGCACGCATACGCACACACACACAGAAACACATACACACACATACACGCTGTTTGGCGTCGCGGCCCTGCGCGCAGCGATAGGGCATATCAAGAACACACCCAATACAATGCTTGTATGCACTTGGCGTGTTCGTTGCCTCGTACATACCACGCGTATGCGACGCATACACTGCACCCACGTGAGGCACATTTCCGCATACAGCCGCACGTACACATCATATACACGCAACATAGACAAAGGTTGACCTAGTCACTCGCATGACACATGAAATACACGTCCATATTCAACCGTCCATATACGTCGTGCCAAATTCGGCATAGCTGTAGGACCCCGCGAGGGCTGGCTATCCAAATTTTTGTTGCCTCTCTCTCTCTATCGTTTTTTCGGTCTCGGGGAAACTCTCGGGGCTGAATCGGCGCAGCGAGTAGCGTTCTGTGTGATGGAATGGCACTGTGAGGCCCGATCCGATCCGATTCAACCGTTCACTCATCATACACACAAGGCACGCAGGCGCAGACCGAGTCACTCACATGACACCCACTCTACGCAACCGCGTAGAGTTCGCAGGAAGTAGCAGGCGTGCCGCCTTCTCCGCGCCACACGGGGTGCGCAGGGGGGTGGTCCCTCGCCACGGCCTCCATCCGTCTCGGGGACGCGGGGCGTGGCAGGCGTGGCACGTTCCCCACACCGCACGGGTTTCGCAGGGGGGCGTGGCAGGCGGGCACTTTCCACACCGCACGTTTTTCGCAGGCCGCACGGGTTTCGCAGGCCGCGTGGCATGTTCCCCACACCGCACGGGTTTCACAGGCCGCGTGGCACTTTCCACACACCCAATCCACCTAATCCACCTTGAATTCTCAGGTGAAGTCGACACGGTACTTCTTCAGGGCGCTCTTTTCGAGAAAGTGACGCTTCGTGTTTCGGTCGGCCTCAGCCGTCGAGACTTCCCCCTCTCGCCCTCAGTATCTTCAAGTTTGGTTCTCGATATTCCTCGGCCTCCGTTCCTTTCTACATTATCATGCGCCGTCCCGCGCACATATTAGTAGCGCTCGCAGCATCTACGAAGAGAACATTTGAAGCGGTGGTCTCCGCAGTATTGGTGTCAGTAGAAGTGGTAATGGTGGTAGGGGCAGCAGAGTAGTGGTGGTCGCGTCCACCTCAGAGTTCTGAGAGTGTTGGGACGGTGTTGGGCGGAGGCGATGTCTTGGACACGGCCCACGTTTACCAGAGCTTGTTGTAGCGTTGGGGAGAGCGTGGGGTATAGAGTTCCTCGACGCCCCCCCCCCGTTCTTCATATTTCCTTCTCGCCCCCTCGTGGAGCTACAGTAACGATGTTGAGCTGAGGAACGGTTCGGGTTTTGCAAGGGCTTCACCGATCTGGGGGTACGTCCACGGCTGCTCCTCGAACGCTCCTCGTGCACCCGGACGCTTTCTGGACCAACAAGGTGGATTCGATCCTAATCTCGTTATCCTCGTTCGCTTGACCGTACGTGGTGGGGTCCTCCCAGCCTTCCCGCGAGGACGTCGACACCGACAAGGCGCCCCGCTCGGAGCGTTTGGTGCCAGCACACATGCTATTCTGCAGGGCCCGCTGTCCCGACCGAGCCGAGGCATTGCTCCTCCTCCTCCTCCTCCTCCTCCTCCTCCTCCTCCTCCTCCTCCTCCCCCTCCTCCTCCCCCTCCGGAGCCGACTGATATGTTTGGGAAACGCAGGAAGGAGGACCAGTGCTTTTTTGTCCTTTAAAGCGGAGGTCCCGGAAGAAGTCGTTCCTTCTTCCACGGATGTCGGGTGTCGCCAGAGTGGCGGCCAACGTAGGATATTGATCATGCCAGTGCCATCCCTTGGGGGTGCGAGTGCATCCAACGGATTGTCTCGCAAGCAAGGTTCTGTGTGTACTTACCTTGTTCGAGGCGGTATAGCAGAACAACAGAAGCAGGTGGTCGGGAGACGATGGTGGAAAGGGGGTTGGGGCGATGAAGCGGAGGCGGTCTCCTAGGAGGCGGAGGGCGAGAACGAGTAGCAGTGGCAGGAGCAGCAGCAGAAGCAGCAGCAAGTGAGGTGAGGAGCAGTTGAGGTGACGTGAAGAAAGATGGTGGCGACAGGGACGTGGGGCGCGTCATGAGGAGCTGATGACATGTGGACAAGGGGGTAGGACGTGCAGCAGCGGAGGAGGAGGCAATGAGCAGCTCGCAGCGGTGACGAGATTTCTGGAGAACTTGCCCCCAACAAAAATTCCGCGCCGCCCCCCTGGCAGTCGATCGCGCTCTCGATCGCAGTGCTCGCGGGCATGTTGGCGGTCTGCGTCTTCAGCGCGGTGATCGCTCCCAAGTGGCTGGGCTGCGGTGGGAGGAGGCGGCGCGGGTGTCCCCTTTGCCGCGCCTGCAGCCGACACCAGGCAGACGGGGGACAGGGTACGGAGTGGACAGAGATGCAGCAGAGTTTTGAAGTTTTTGCTGCGTGCTCCAGAGTACGTAATAAAAGGGAGGGGGTCTGGACCCTCCAAGACAAGCCATTTCAGACCCCCCCTCGTGGGAGAACCCTCCAAAACATCGTCCCCAGACCCCCCCCAGGCCCTCCAAGACAGCCTGGAAGAGACCCCCCCCCGAAATGAGACCCCCCTCCCTTTATTACGAAATCTGGAGTACCTATAAGTACAGATTCCATCAGTCCAAAGCTTCCCATGGGTCCAAGTTCGAATAGTGATCCAATATAGTCCGCATCCGTTCATCCGATCACCGTGACTATCTGCATGCGTGCTCGTCGTGATCAGGAATTTCGAAAGCAGTGCTGTAGAGCTTGAGCGCACTGTCGGAATGTATTGGGGGACTCCTGAGGGGTTTCTGGGGACCTCTCAGGGGGCGTATGGGGCCTCCTGAAGGCCTCTCTGGGGGCTGTCTTGGATCATGATGGGCAACCATGAGGCTATCCTGGGGCCTCTTGGGACAGGATTTGGGTGTCGTTCCGGCATCTCGGGGGCTGTTTTGGACCAGCTTGGGCCACCTTGGGGTTATATTGGGGCCTTTTCGGGTTATTTCCAGTGCAGTCTTGGGGTCGACCATCCATTGACCCCCTATGGGACAGTTTTTCATCTGACGAGAACGGGCGTGACGGAGGAAGGGGAGGGAGGGGGGGGGGTGTTCCCATGCGGCGCTGGCGCGAATCGTGACGTGACCAGGGGCGGGCTGGTCACGGCCGGTATCGCGAACAAAAGAAAACATGATTGGTCCGTTCGTCGGCCCTCTTGGTGCCCTCCTCGGAGTTTGAGGAGCCGTTGTGAAACCCTTCTGGGCTGGAGTTGGAGCCATCTTGGGCAATCTTGGAGCCGTGTTGAGGCCTCAGAAGCATACCGGAAGCGAAATGGTGAGAAAGCCAACAGCATGCAAACATCATTGGCTTTTGAATGATTTTGGTTTGAGCGCTGTCTTGTGCCACCTTGGCGATAGATTGGTACTTCTTTGGAATGTTTCGGGCATTGACTGCATGAATGCATGGGCGCTTCGCGCCATGCACCTTGGTTTCTCAAGTTCGGCATGCAGGCGGAATGTGGGGAATACGGTACATCGACAACATGTTGCACCACCTGGCGCGGACAAGAAGTCGCATCCCTGGTCTATCAAGCGTTTGTTTTCCACCCCCCCTCCCGTCCAATTTTAATATTGGGTTCGGTCTGGGCTGGTCGAAACAGCTCGGTGGTGCAGCATTTTGGCGGGAGCGCCAGGGCGGCCCAAGGGCTCTTCGCCATGCACTCAATCTTAAAATCGGGGGGAAGGGGGGGGAAGAGCAGAGCAGTATAGGTGCCAATGCTCGGCAAGAGTGGTGCAACGTGTTGTCGATGTATGGTATCTACGTAACCAACCATAGTGGTTGTTGGTAGCTCCTAGTTACCGCTTTCGCCCCGCGCACTGGCCCATGAGAAGCAATGGGACTCCATACGAATCAACGCAAAACAAAACATCGCAACGTCAAGCAATGTCGCAGAATACGAAGGAACGCCAATGCAAGGACGTCCTTGTCACGTAGTCTGCGGACGGCAACGTTCAGCCGAGCATCGCTCTGAAGCAAAGACGTGGCAGCGGGTCGCAACGGGCGCAACGGGGCGCGTTGAAGTACGGCATTCTTGGGATGTGCACCGAATCGCGGGTTCGCAAGGGATGTCCAGGGAATGTTGCGAACCCAGGGTCTCGGGTAAGTCTGAAAGCATTCGTAGGACAACTCCTTTTGGAAGGCGCACGCCATGCAAAATCATAACGTTCGGGGGCCATCGCGTGGCTATCACATTGGCTCTCTCGCCGCCTAGGCTGCCCAGTCGCGCAATGCAAAGCAATAGGAACCAATGCGAATGAACGCTAAGACATCTTCGGTGGGAAGCCGACGTCGCGAATCCTCGGCGGGACCATTATTCCGAGATGCGGAGAGGCAGCATCGACGTGGGAAGCAATCACCTTCTGCTTGCACGTCTGCCTCTCAGGGGCTTTGGGGACCTCTTGAGGCCTCGTGGGCGCGTGTTGAAGGTCTTTGTGGGCTCCCTCGAGCCTGTCGCGACCGGGCCTGTGGATTCTCGCGCCTTTCGCGGCCAGGCCTCTTTGGGGGTCCTGTTAGGGTCCTTTCGGGCCGTTTTCGGGCCGCTGGAGGGGGCGCTTGGAGCCATACTGGGGCTATCCCGGGCCAGTCTGGGCTGTCTTCGGGGGCCTCCTGCGGCCCTCTTGGGCCTCCGTTGGGAGCTTTTTGAGGGGGTCTTAGGCCCCTTGGGTCGTCTTGGGGCTCTCTTGGAGTGTCTTGGGGCCCCCTTGGGTCGTCTTGGAGTTCTCTCGAAGGCCTCTTGGGCCGTCTTGGGGCAATTTCGGGAGGCTCCTGGGCCGTCGTGGTCGCTGCGAGGTAAAAGCTACGCATATACTAAGACAGCTGAACGTGTACCTAAGGGAGTGGAGCGATTTGTGCCTAGGGGATCCTTCTTAGGGCCTCCGTGGGCGTCTCGGAGGACGGGTGTCTGCCCCCGCCTGGATTGTAAAGATATGAGAAGCATAATTTTGAAGGCTGAGACCCATTGATCTCCGGCGCCCTCAGGGGTTGGGAACATTTTTGGAGCCCTTTTTTTTAAGATCCACTGTACAGATATGAGAAGCATAATCCGGCGCCCTTAGGGTGTTGAGAATCAAATGGGTCTAAAGCCTTCAAAACTACCCCTAAGGGTGTTTGGCCCGCCCGGATTGTAAAGATATGAGAAGCATCATTTTGAAGGCTGGGACCTTTTTGGGGCGCTGCTGGGGCCCTCGGGGGGTTGGGAACCTTTTCGGAGCCCTTTGGGCTGCACTTTGAGTTATCTTGGGCGGACGTCGAGCCGTCTCGAGGCCTCATAGGCCCATCAGAAGCGAAGAGGCGAGAACATCACATTGATCGAAAAACCATGCACTTGGGAATGATGTTGGCCTCCTGGGGGCTGTCCTGTGCCACCGTCGATCAGGAGGGGAAAACACACACAGACACAATTAGTCGTCGATCCCAGAGAAAATATGCGAAAATATGGAAAGTGGGGGGGAAGACGAAAATCCAAAAAATATGTAAAAATACAGGGAATCCTTTTATTCGTGTGTATTTATTTGTGTGTCCCAGGGCCCCTTTAGTCGAGTTATCTTGGGCCTTCTTGGGGCTATCTCGGGGCCATCGTGCGGCATGCCACCCACTGGTCCCCGTTTTCTGGCCCTACTGGAGCTCCCTTGGGGCGGTCGTGGGGGTCCTAGCGCCTTCGACTCGGGGGTGGACAGAACCCCCAACAGTGACACGTCGACTAGAGAATTGTCCGTTTTCGGTTCTCGAGATGGCGCCGTGGTCGTTATTTTCCAGGCTTGCGCCCGCCAGGTTTGGGCCTCCGGTCGTTTTCGCTAAACCACGTTTTGCTAAAGGGGGGTCTGTCCATCCCCGATCGACCAGGAGTTCTGGAATTTCTGGGGGACGTGCCCGGGTTGTTGTCCTCAGGGACTGCCACGTGCGCGCGAGCTATCGATGCACAGATGCAGATGCACACACGTATAAAGACAGCAAACGTTAGAGGTCACGGTTTTGGCACGCATGTGGCCGGTGGGCCTTGGAGCTTCCAGGGGAGTTGAGTCGGGTTGCCCCGTTGGCTATTGGGCTCGCCTGATTCGGCAAATGCTGGTCTGGTGCTCCAGCAGTCACGCTCACATGATGTGCCCATGCAGGACGGAAGTCGCGCTTCGGGCCATGTCTGAACATATTTGTCGACGTCGGAATGAGTGCTAGCTGGCCCTTCTGCACCAGCCCTTGCAGCTGTCTCGCCGCCGCTTGACGGTATGAACGAGGAAGTTGCGATCGCGCGAGATGTTCTCGGCGCTTTTGAGGAGGTGGAGGAGGAGGAGGAGGAGGAGGAGGAGGAGGAGGAGGAGGAGGAGGAGGAGAGGTCGTCGTCCAGTTTTCGTCGCTGGACGGGGGAGGAGGTAACCTGGTCGCTCCTGCTGAGAGCCCTGTCCTCTCGTCGTGGGTGGAGCCTCCGCCTGCGGCCCCCCTGAGCCCTCCCCTGTGGGAGTCTGTGGTTCGCGGACCGTCCTCCCCCATCGGGTGCCCGCGGCTTGCCCGCCCGAGGGCGTCCTCTCCTCGCCTTTCTGCTTACTCGAGCGACGCTGCGTGTTCGCCCGTGTTCCTCGCCACCGTGGCGAGGTGCTCACCAGGGCTGAAGGGGGTGAGTCAGGAGGGAAAACCACACAGACACAACGAATCATCTACTCCCAGGAAAATATGGGAAAATATGGGAAGTGGGGGGGAAGACGAATACCCAGAACATATAGGAAAGTATGGGGAATCCTGTTCTGTGTGTCTATTTAATTGTGTGTCCCAGGGCCCCTTCAGTGAGGGTATGCACTTTTCTGACAGCTCCGACTGAGGAGTCGGAGCTTGCTCGCTGCTCCCCCCTCCGCAGCTGCGAGTGCAAGTCCCCTTATCGGGGACGGGGTGTGGAGGCCTGGTCCGCGGAACCAAAACAGCGTTGTGAGAAGCGCCAGGTTCTCTCCAGCAGGGCCGAGGATGCGCCCGGAACAGCAGACGAAGAGGAGAACCAGGCGCGCTCCCTCCTGGACGAGCACTGCCCCTCCCAGCCTTCCCCGTCGAGCGGGGGCGGCGGGGAGGAGGGCGGGCGGCGCCACCCGAGGCTGCACGGGGTCGAGGACCAGCAGCAGAGGAAGAACAAGAAGGCCGTGACGAGCGAGGAGCCTCCCCGGCCGTCGGCGGCAACGACGACGGCGGCGACCACGACCACGCTGACGGCGGTGAGAACGACGATGACGCTGACGACGGGGATGAAAACGACGATGACGACGACGATGACGTCGCCCTCGCCCTCGCAGCCATCGTCGTCCTCGTCGTCGTCGCCCACCTCCTCCTCCTCCTCCTCCTCCTCCTCCTCCTCCTCCTCCTCCTCCTCCTCCTCCTCCTCAATATATGACCGTCCTCCTGATCCCCGTCAGCTTGTTGTCCTCGTTGTCGCCGTCCTCCCCCGCTATCATCATTGTCGTCGTTCGCCCCCTCAGCAGGTGATCGTTCTCCTGATCTCATCTGTCGTGTTAACTACCATCGTCGTTGCCGTCCTCACCCTGCGTCGTCGTCGTCGTCGTCGCCCTTCTACTGTTTAGATTTCGCGACTCTTATAGACACCAAGCTTCATCGGGGGGATGAGCGTGCGGACCGTTGGAGAACGCTCCTGCTCCCCACTCCTCCATCCTCGCTTCTGACGCTCGGCGAGTTTGGATCGACCCATTCATTCATTCATTCACGCCAGCGGAAACGGGGGTCAATGCCGCGCGCCCCAGACACCCCGCGGCCCGCCAACATGCGGCCCGCTCACTTCTTGGAGGTGGGTGGAGAACCCCCACCAGCCACGACTCCCAGAGTGACCGGAGGGGGCAGGCAGGGAGGCGTAGGGCTCTCGGGTGTGGGCCACTCTGTTCGAGCCGAACCGGGGCCCCCAGCAGTGCAGAGCCTCCCTCGCCGGTGGGGGGGGGGGGGGGCGGGCGGGGTGCGCACGCGGGCAGTACATCGGCTGACAGGGGGTGGGGGGGGGGGGGCGACCCCTGCGGCGGGAGACCGACGGAGGGGCGACACGAGGAGACGCAGCGGCAGGACGAGGGATGGGGGAGAGGGGGAGGGGACAAGCTAGGTGCGCTCGCGTCATCTCTGACATCCTACCCCTCCCTCCCACATGAAAGCCGCGGTTCGGTCCGGTCCGGTTCGGTTCGATGTGCGACTGGTTCGGTTCGACCAGTTCCGGTTCGCGTCGCAAACCGGTTCGGTTCGACGGGTTCGGTTCTTTGTCGTAGACCGGTTCGGTTCGACCGGTTCGGTTTTATGTGTTCCGACCGGTCCGGTTCGGCCGGTTCGGTTCGGTTGGTTCGGCCGGTTCGAATTTATGCAGAGGCGATTTCAGTCAGCCCGATTTCGATTCGCTTCGATTCCAGGCCGTCCCGATCGGCAGACCCGACGGGGATGGGGACGCGTAGAAGAGCACCGCAAAGCGTAGTATCAACCTAGCATTGCATTGCATGCCGTGGCATGGCACGGGAAATGACGCCAGCGCTGCAGCGGGAGCACGGTTCGGAACGAGCGGAAGCACGGAAATGAGGCCAGCGCTGCAGCGGGAGCACGATTCGGAACGAGCGGGGCCCGAAAATGAGGCCGGCGCCGCAGCGAGAGCAGCATCTTGGAAACAAATGCGGGCGAAAACCCAATTCCGGGGAATCCTGTGTGTAATTAGCCTGGCGAAGGACCCAACCATATGCAACTGTGAATACCGCAAGTGTGAATATCGTTTTCGGCGGCGCTACCTCTGGGTAGTGGAGACGCATGCGAACACCCCCACTGGGGCCTTCGGTGGAGCTCCCTATGGGGCCACGAAACGCTGCCCTGGGTGGGGGAACCGCATGCGACACCCCCACTGGGGCCTTCGGTGGAGCTCCCTATGGGGCCACGAAACGCTGCCCTGGGTGGGGGAACCGCATGTGGACACCCCCACTGGGGCCTTCGGTGGAGCTCCCTCTGGGGCTACGAAACGCTGCCCTGGGTGGGGGAACCGCATGTGGACACCCCCACTGGGGCCTTCGGTGGAGCTCCCTCTACGAAACGGCCGCTGGGTGGGGGAACCGCATGTGGACACCCCCACTGGGGCCTTCGGTGGAGCTCCCTCTGGGGCTACGAAACGCTGCCCTGGGTGGGGGAACCGCATGTGGACACCCCCACTGGGGCCTTCGGTGGAGCTCCCTATGGGGCCACGAAACGCTGCCCTGGGTGGGGGAACCGCATGTGGACACCCCCACTGGGGCCTTCGGTGGAGCTCCCTATGGGGCCACGAAACGCTGCCCTGGGTGGGGGAACCGCATGCGAACACCCCCACTGGGGCCTTCGGTGGAGCTCCCTATGGGGCTACGAAACGCTGCCCCGCATGTGCCACTGGGGTTCGGTGGAAACGCTGCCCTGCGCAACACCCCCACTGGGGCCTTCGGTGGAGCTCCCTATGAAACGAGCTCCGCTACTGGGGCCGGTGGACTATGGGGAAACGCTGCCCTGGGTGGGGGAACCGCATGTGGACACCCCCACTGGGGCCTTCGGTGGAGCTCCCTATGGGGCCACGAAACGCTGCCCTGGGTGGGGGAACCGCATGTGGACACCCCCACTGGGGCCTTCGGTGGAGCTCCCTATGGGGCTACGAAACGCTGCCCTGGGTGGGGGAACCGCATGTGGACACCCCCACTGGGGCCTTCGGTGGAGCTCCCTATGGGGCTACGAAACGCTGCCCTGGGTGGGGGAACCGCATGCGGACACCCCCACTGGGGCCTTCGGTGGAGCTCCCTATGGGGCCACGAAACGCTGCCCTGGGTGGGGGAACCGCATGTGGACACCCCCACTGGGGCCTTCGGTGGAGCTCCCTATGGGGCCACTGGGTGGGGGAACCGCAACGCTGCCCTGGGTGGGGGAACCGCATGTGGACACCCCCACTGGGGCCTTCGGTGGAGCTCCCTCTGGGGCTACGAAACGCTGCCCTGGGTGGGGGAACCGCATGTGGACACCCCCACTGGGGCCTTCGGTGGAGCTCCCTCTGGGGCTACGAAACGCTGCCCTGGGTGGGGGAACCGCATGTGGACACCCCCACTGGGGCCTTCGGTGGAGCTCCCTATGGGGCTACGAAACGTGTGAGAGGTGTGCCGAGAGCAGAGGCAAGGAGGGGGAGGAGGGGGAGGAGGAGGAGGAGAGGAGAGGAACGCGGGGCACCGTCTCTTCAAAACGAGGACCCAACACCACAGGATGGTTGGGAAAAAAACAGTACGCGGGGGGGGGCTAATACTTTCAAACCGTCATCCGGGGAAGAGGGAGAGTAGTATTCATATTGAGTAATTGCGGAGCAGCCAGGGGCAGCAGCAGGCGCGACGGGGGGAGGGAGGGCGGAAGAGGGGAGGGAGAGGGCCGCCGGCGCAACCGAAGCACCTCCAGAGCCCTCCCCCCTGGGGAGGGCGAGAGAGCAAATGAAGGGCGGGCCGAAGGCGAACGAGGGGGGGCGGGAAACAGGCGGTGGCGCTCTCGGGGGGCGTCGGCGGCACCGGCGGGCCCCAAGGCTGGAGAGTCGCGCCGTGCTGCCCCCCCCCTTCGGCCCTCGCTCGTCCGCGACGCCCGCCCCCCCACCCTCCCCAGCCCGTCCAGCGTTGTGTCGGGCGTGTCCCCCTACAAGGGGATTTTCGACGAAAAATGAAAAATACCCCCCCCAAATACCCCAAAAAGGTAAAAAATTAGCCTGGCGAAGGACCCAACCATATGCATTTGTGAATGCCGTCTTTGTGCGCAACGCATTCGGTGGAGCTCCTTATAGGGACACGAAACGCTGTGCTGGGTGTGGCGGACGCATGCGCCCCCCCCACTGGGGCCTTCGGTGGAGCTCCCTATGGGGCCACGAAGCGCTGTGCTGGGTGTGGCGGACGCATGCGCCCCGCTCCACTGGGGCCTTCGATGGAGCTCCCTATGGGGCCACGAAACGCTCTGCTGGGTATGGCGGACGCATGCGCCCCCCCCCCATTGGGGCCTTCGGTGGAGCTCCTTGTGGGGCCACGAAACGCTGTGCTGGGTGTGGCGGACGCGTGCGCCCCCCTCCGCTGGGGCCTTCGGTGGATCCCCCTATGGGGCCACGAAGCGCCGTGCTGGGTGTGGCGGACGCATGCGCCCCCCCCCCCCACTGGGGCCTTCGGTGGAGCTCCTTATGGGGCCACGAAACGCTGTGCTGGGTGTGGCGGACGCATGCGGGCTGTGCCACTGGGATCTTCGGTGGAGCTCCCTATGGGGCTACGAAACGTGTGAGAGGTGCCGAGAGCAAAGGCAAGGAGGGGGAGGAGGGAGGAGGGGGGAGGAGGGAGGAGGGAGGCGGCAGGAGGGCGGAGGGGGAGGAGGAAGGAGGAGGAGAGACGCGGGGCACCGTCTCTTCAAAACGAGGACCCAACACCACAGGATGGTTGGGAGATATTTTGAAAATAGTCCCCAGACTGTTTTTGGATTCTGTGTGGGGTATCTCTTGTCTTTCGCCGCAAATCCCCCTGCAGGGGGACAGGCCCGACTTAAGCATAGGCGGAGGATGGAAGCCAGCTGACGGCCGCGCGCGGGCGGGAGGCGCGCTCGCCCTGCCTCCCTGCCCGGGGGCGTGGCGTCCCGACTCCAGATCCGCCCTACTTCTTGGCTTTTTTGTTCCAACTTGAGATTGCTTCGGAACTCCACCTATGAGAGGCCGAACAAGTAGGGCGGAAATCTTTGCACCCAGCACAAAGTGGGGCGGAAGTCCACAGAAGTGTTTAGGGCGGAAACGGCAAAAAGAAAAGTAGGGCTGAAATTGGCATCAGCGGGGCTCGAAAAGTAATGCGGAAATTCCAAGCCCTACTTACGAATTTCCCCAAAGTAGGGCGGATCCGGAGTCAGGGCGGGCGCACCAGGCCGGCTCGGCGCGGCCGGTGGGCGGGGAGGGCTGCGGGGAGGAGGGAGGCCTGCAGACCCCCTCGCGCTGCGAAAAAAAATCGCGGCGGGGAGGTTTTTCGCTACTTTCGGCCTCCGGGGGCCTTTGCACCGGGCCTCGGGGCCGTCAAGAAACGACGCAGGACGAGCAGCCGGTCCCGGGGAAGGGGTCCAGGCCTCTGGGGGTCGGCGCTACGGCAAAACTTGGTGGACCCCAAACGTGGTGGTGAGAACACCCGGTGGTGAGTTTTGGGCGATTTGGGTAATGGTTTTCGAGCGCTGGCTGGCCCAGGAAACGCAAAGCCTCGTGGCGACCGCGTGTCCCCAAACCCGGTGGCGACCCAGAATTATTTCTTTGGGGAATCGGGGTCACCACCGGGTGTCTCACCACCTGGTTTGGAGACCACCAAAAAACAAGCACGGCGTCGGGGGCCTGGGCTGGCACTCCGCCCGCGGCGGGGCCCGCTCCTCGGCTCCCGGGGTGCAGGCGGGCGGCCAGTCCCTGCGGCTGCCCAGTGCGGCGAAGGGTGGGGGAGGCGGAGGGTGGGAAGAAGCGAGGAGTGAGCCCCCTCCCGAGGGTTGTGATGCTCCAACCTATCACCACCCACCAAACCACCCCAACCCAACCCGAAGGCTCAGATTTACCCTCGATTTCCAGTGGGGGGGGGGTTCGGGAAACATCGAAAAAACGCGTGTGGAACCCTTCCCCCACCCAGCCCGAAATTCGGGTCTTCGGGTTGGGTTGGGGTGGTCTGGTAGGTAGTCAACCTACTCTAGCCTTGATCACCAGGAAGAATTTCGAGCGCCCCCAAAAGTGCCGAAGCTCAAGGGTTTTCACGTGTCGGGCCCTGGGGGACACTCGCCCGACACTGTTTAGACACTGTTTCGACACTCTTTTGACACTTTCCCGGGTGCTCGACATTATTTCTGGGATGTGGTCCTCAAGTAGGATGGGAACAACGTAAGCGGAGGGTGGGAAGACCCGAGGAGTGAGCCCCCTCCCGAGGGAGGAGGGACCCCCTCGGGCGTTCCAAGGCTTAGCGCCGCCAGTGGCGTCGTCAGGATCGGCCAGCATGCGGCGAGCTGGCGATCGAGGGGCCGCCGGTCGGTCAGGGTGGAACGGCCCACGCGGCGTCGCGGACCTGCAGTCGGGGCGCGGAAGAAGGAACCCTTCTCGTTGGGGAGGGGCTCCGTGTTCCTTGATTGTCTCAGAGCTTGCCTTAGGTTTTCCTTAGGTCTTCGATGGGAAATCGAACTTCAACTGACGGGAGAAAGGGGCCTCGTTCCTTATTTAGGGTTCCTTAGGTCAACGTCCCGACCGTACATGCGCCGGGGCCGTCACGGCACCAACCTGCCATGTGTCTGCACGAACGAAATGGGCACGGAAAGAATGGGTATAAGGCCCAACAGCAGTCCCTGTTTCTTTTGAACAGGACTCGCTGTCCACGCCGCCGCGGCCTGTGTCCATTCGAGACAGAAGGCCGCCTGCCCACCAGCGGCCGCTGTTGGTTTGGGACAGCATTTGTTGTTGGGCATTGCACCCATTCTTTCCGTACCCATTTCGGGCGTCCAAAACGTGGCGCGCGCGAGACCGTCGGAAGGATATCCTATATCTTTAAAAGCCTACGTATCAAACATCCTCTATTTGAAATCCCATTTTTCAATCCTAGGTATTAAACAAAAAGCCCTGCCGGGAGGAGATCCTCGAGAGGCTGCCCCCGGCGAAGACGCCGCGCAACTCCGACGGCGGGGGCCAGCCCAGCTGCGTGGTCTGCCTCTGCGAGGCGCGGCCCGCGGGCCGCGCGTTGCCCCGCCGCGCCGCGGCCGGCGCGGCCCGGGGAGGACGGCCGAGTGGCGAGTCGGGGCTCAAGAGACTCGGGCCGGGCGACTCGGGGTCATGATTTGCACCCCCCCCTCTTGGGCACCCCCCTCTTGGCCGCTCCCGAGATCTGCGAACGCCCTCCTTGCACGACCCCCCACTCGGTCGACCCGAGGGGGCGAGGGGCGGCGGAGTGGGAGAGAGGGGGGGGCGAATGGCGGCAGCGGGGTCGGGCACGAGGGGGGAGGGGGTAATCCGAAGAGGGCACGGGCTTCCGAGCGCCATGCGAGCTGGGCGTGGTGGAGGAGGGAGGAGCGGGCCGGACGAAAGGGGAGGAATTGGGAAAGGGGGGGCTACGAAATTTGCTGCATTTAGCTGGTTTTGGCCCCACCGAGGGGCCGCTTCCTCGATGCATGGCCGCCTCCCGGCGCCGGGAGGAGCCGGGAACATCAGCTACGTGAGTTGGTTCTCAAACCCTCCCTTTTCTATCCCCCCCTTTCGCCCGACCCGAGAGGAGTGAGGAGGTGGGGGGAGGGAGGAAGGTGGGGTGAGGGAGGCGAGGCGGAGGAGAGGCGAGGAGGAGGCGTGGGCGGTGAGGAGGAAGGAGGCGGTCCGGGACGTTTGGGAGAAGGGCGGCGAGGGGAATGAAGAGGAGAGGAGTAGCAGCAGAACGGGGACCAGGAGGAGGAGGAGGAGGAGGAGGAGGAGGAGGAGGGAGGAGGAGGAGGAGGACAACGACGCTCACGAGAACGACGGGGAGAGGAATGGAGGGGCTGGGGTGGGGACGAGGATGGGAGAAGAGGCCAGGGCGAGGAATGTGCTGGCCGTGTAGTGGCCGCGTGCCTGCGCTGCGGCGCCGCGAGCAGCCGTCAGCTGGCTTCCATCCTCCGCCTATGCTTAAGTCGGGCGTGTCCCCCTACAGGGGGGTTTTCGACGAAAAATAAGACATACACAAACACATAGTGCAAACATAATCCAAAAATAGTATGGGGACTATTGTTTGAGTATTTTTTATCTTTTTGGCGTATTTTGGGGGTATTTTAAACATATCTGTCGTCGAACATCTCCCTGCAGGGGGACAGGCCCGACTTAAGCCTATGCAGAAGCTCTTTGGGTCCATGGCCAGCGCGCCACTCGAAGGATCGCAGAGGTGTTTCCCAAGGGCTTGACGATTTCTCTCATCGCTTTACGGGAATCACGCCAGATGAATATATGTAGATACAAAGCTAGGTGCGTCCACGTAGATGTAGATACATGGATGAGTCTCTGGGAAAGCTGGAGCAAATCGTGGAAGCTCCAGCGCGAGTCGAGAAATAGCAGAAGTCGTTAAGCACTCAACGCGGTCTTGTGGCCCGTGCGAAAGGGGGGTGAGGTCGCTTCAGCAATAGGGTGGTTCACACTTGCAGGCCACCAGCTCCGGGATGGAGAGGCGGAGGGGAAGGGGGAGAGAAGTCCGAGATCGCCTTTGTGGGACCATCTCGGGTAAGATTGTCAGGCGATCGCAAACATGGATCAAGGGGGCGTGGATTAGTGACGGGTCCCGTTTCCATGAGAAACCGCGGATTCCCGCCGCCGAACGAGGCGGCACCGGCCGCATTTTGGGGAGGGCACCTCCCCCGATCCATGGATTTGGCGACCGCGCGCCAAATCCATGGATCGCTAATCCATTTTTGCGCGCCCCCGAAATTGGGGCTACCGTTGGGCCATCTTGGAAAACCTTGGGGGAAATCCTGGGCCGACGTGGGGCCGTGCTGGCCCATATTGGGCGATGTTCGTGATTCATGATGTTAGGACGTGAAGGCTTGCATGGACTGAGCGTGGCTCCCTTTCCCCCCGGGACCTCCTCCGGCCCCCTCCCCGCGCCCCGCGCGCACCTCCCCTGGCCTCTCGTGCCGCAGTTTGCCCCGGCTCGCCCGCCGTTGCCCGAACGCTGCCGGATCCCTTGCGGCCGCTGATGAACAAAATGATACCGGGGCATTTGGAGGCCACCTCGGGCCCATCCTAACGCTAGATCGGAGAGCCTGAGGGCAACAACCAGCTATGGACCTCGCGGGAGCAGAGCAGGGGGCACATGTAACACCTCGAGCGCGCCTTGCTTCTCCACGCATCGCTGCCTTCTTGGATCGTCTTGGTGGACTCTTAGGTCCCCTCTTGGCACCTCTTTGGGTCGCCTTGGGGGGAGGAGGAGGAGGAGGAGGAGGAGGAGGAGGAGGAGGAGGAGGAGGAGGAGGAGGAGGAGGAGGAGGAGGGGCAATCTCAGGCTCGCCTGGGCTCCTGGCGCGCTCCCGGAGGCCTCTCGGGACCCCTCTGCCGCCCAGCAGCGTCCCCGTGGGAGCCCTGCTTGCCCGAGGGCCGAGGGCCGGGGTTCCTGCTGCAGCGCCGCGGGTCTGCGTGGTGGACAAGACGCCAGGAGGGGAAAAAACACACACAGACACATTGGATCGTCGACTACCAGGAAAATGTGGGAAACTATGGGCAGTGGGGGGGAAGACAGAAACCCAGAACGTACGGGGAAATAGTGGGATTCCTGTTATTTGTGTGTATGTATTCAATCGCTTCGCTCACTCCGCCGGCCCGTATTGCATGATCGCTACTGCTTTGGCGCGGGCTCGGGGCCATTTCGGCGCCGCCGGAAGAAGGAGGGGAGGGGGAGGGGAGGAGGAGAAGAGGATGAGAAGGAACGGAGGAGAATGAAGATAAATATGAGGAGGAGGAGGAGGAGGAGGAGGAGGAGGAGGAGGAGGAGGAGGAGGAGAAAAAAAAAGGGCGGAGGAGGAAGCCTCTCGATGGCATCTTGCGGCGCTCTTGGGGCCAAACAGGGCCGTCGTCCAGATGCTTCTTTGGGAGGCCCTGGGGTCTGTTGTGAGGCCGTTCGGGGGCGCCTGGGAGACATTTTTGAAGCCTTGTAGGGCCTCTTTTGAGCCTCCTTGGAGCCTCCTGGGGTCCCTTGGGGGCCTCTTGGCGGCATCTTGGGCCATCTTGGGGGCCTCTCGGGGCCTCCTGGGGCCCTCTTGGGGCGGAAGGCTCGAGGTTTCGGTTCGTGGTCCCCATCTTGGGCTCCTCTTTGGGCCGTCTTGGGGCTCTCTTCGGCCGTCTTGGGCGTGTCTTGGGCGTCTCTTGGGCCGTCTCGGGGCCCGTTTGGGCTCTCTGGGGGCCTTCTTGGAAGCCTCTTGAGCCGTCTTCGTGCGCGCTTGGGGGCCTCTTGGGCCGTCTTGGAGCATCGGAACGCCGAAAATGCGACAAGACCAAAATCCTTCCAAAACCATCGTACAATTTATGATTTTGGCCTCTCGGGGCGCTCTTGTGAGGCCTCTTGGAGGCCACTTGGAGCGTCTTGGCGGCTTCTTGAGCCGTCTGGGGATCATCTTCGGCGTCTTGGAGCGTCCTTTGGGCGTCTCGGGGGCCTCTTGGGCGGTCTTAGGGGCCTCTTGGGGCCCTCTTGGCGCGCTCTGGGGGGCCTGAGAGGCCGTACCCAGGAGGAAAACCATCTCTGAGTAGACCTTCCCGGGCTGCGGTCGGGATACTTTTCGCCGGGGGGCCCCCAGGGGCCGCCCCGCGCGCGCGAACTAGAAATATTGTTAAGTAGTTACCGGAGATTTTAGCACGCCTCTGGCCCGTTGGGCCGGCGAATTTGTGTGTCCCAGGGCCCCTTCAAAGACGACAGGGTTAGAAAGACTGTGTGCACAACAAGTCAGGCAGGACAAGAAGCAGCACACAAGCAAACAGCAAGACGGCAGCCCTGCAGGATGTCACACAGCATGGTGACCACACGGGGACTGGCGTTTTCTTCTCGCGCGACTTGGCGCGCAGCTCGCCAGATGCTCTTACGTGTTTCGCGATCTGAGATGAGTTAGAATGAACATATGGTACGGCGACAAACAGACATGCCACAATGTGTCAATGCTATTGTTGACGACCCTCCACTGGATGATTCCCAACCATCCTGTGGTGTTGGGTCCTCGTTTTGAAGAGACGGCGCCCCGCGTTCCTCACCTCCTCCTCCTCCCCCCCCCTCCCTCCATCATCATCATCATCATCATCATCATCATCATCATCATCATCATCATCATCATCATCATCATCATCATCATCATCATCATCATCATCATCATCATCATCACCACCGATTTCGGCACACCCCTCACACGTTTCGTGGCCCCATAGGGAGCTCCACCGAAGGCCCCAGTGGCAGGGTCGCATGCCTCCCCACCACCCATTTCGGCACACCCCTCACACGTTTCGTGGCCCCATAGGGAGCTCCACCGAAGGCCCCAGTGGCAGGGTCCGCATGCCTCCCCACCACCCATTTCGGCACACCCCTCACACGTTTCGTGGCCCCATAGGGAGCTCCACCGAAGGCCCCAGTGGCAGGGTCCGCATGCCTCCCCACCACCCATTTCGGCACACCCCTCACACGTTTCGTGGCCCCATAGGGAGCTCCACCGAAGGCCCCAGTGGCAGGGCTCGCATGTTCGCATCACACGCCGTGGCCCCCCCACCACCCATTTCGGCACACCCCTCACACGTTTCGTGGCCCCATAGGGAGCTCCACCGAAGGCCCCAGTGGCAGGGTTCGCATGCCTCCCCACCACCCATTTCGGCACACCCCTCACACGTTTCGTGGCCCCATAGGGGCTCCACCGAAGGCCCCAGTGGCAGGGTTCGCATGCCTCCCCACCACCCATTTCGGCACACCCCTCCACGTTTCGTGGCCCCATGGGGATTTCCCACTGAAGGCCCCAGTGACTGGGTTCGCATGCGCCCCCACACCCATTTCGGCACATCCCTCACACGTTTCGTGGCCCCATAGGGAGCTCCACCGAAGGCCCCAGTGGCTGGGTCCGCATGCCTCCCCACCACCCATTTCGGCACACCCCTCACACGTTTCGTGGCCCCATAGGGAGCTCCACCGAAGGCCCCAGTGGCCTGGTTCGTATGCCTCCCCAACACCCATTTCGGCACATCCCTCA